ACTTGGAGCAAGAGAATTCCTTTACACTGTTTTCAACCAGGAAGAGCTACCCAAAATCATTTCCACTGACTATTCAGTGGAGCTTATTTTGTGTCCTCCACCCTGTTACTCAGGTGGGCTATCAGTTTAGTGTTTCTTCTTAAGGAAAAATTCCACTGGGATACAGAAGAGTTTAGAAATCTTATGATGAAAGGTAGAGGAAGAAAATACAAAAGCACTTTGGAAGAAATCTGGAGCATCTTAAAAGTCACTGTAATTAAAACAACAGTTTTTAATTATTCCAAAGGGAGAAAAATTGCAAGAATCACTCAAAAATGCTAAGTGCTTACCAGTGCTCTGCCATATTAGTTCAAATTGACTCGGACAGATACAACATCTTCAGATGAACTGAAAATTATTTGGAAGGCTTAAAACAAAAGAAAATGCAACATAATTGGGTGGAAAAGCAGTGGGTTTGGAGTCACTGGAGTATGGTTCTGCCATTGACTAACCGATTGAACTTTGGCAATTCATGGAACTCTGTGACTCAAATTTTGAAACTGCAAAACAGGATACCACCACTTAACCCTGGGTTAAAAGAATGTGTGTAAAGACAGTGTTTTGTTCTCAAATGCTACTCTCCACACCCTCTATTTGTCTCTGTTTCTCTTCTCTCCACCCAGGGGTAGACAACTGCTTGACTAACTACACTACACCACTCCCAGCCACCTGTTTCATTTTCATTTTTTATATTCAAATTCTTCCTTAACATAAGTCTCCAAATTCATAAACTTTGGCTTTTTTAATATTTCCTAAAGATAGCATTCAATGTCATATTTAAAATTAACCCATTAATATACTTATGTTAAGTGTTTCTTCAAATTATTCTGCAAATTAAGAAAAAGTATTGGAGAAGGGGATGGCAACCCACTCCAGTATTCTTGCCTGGAGAATCCCCATGGACAGAGGAGCCTGGTGGGCTGCAGTCCATAGAGTTGCAACAGTCGGACACTACTGAGTGACGAACACACATTCCTCTTGTTACCACTTGCTCTTTGGTTACCACTGCATCCCTTTGGCTAAACTGCATTCACTGTTCAGATTCTTGACACAGGTGAAGTGGTCAAACATAAGGCAGCTTATTGAGGTGTTCTCATGATAAAAATCAGTCACTTCTGTAAGGGTTGAGAGACTCTCCCAGTTGTTTGGGAATGATTAAGTATGTTTCAGCAGTTCTCAAACTTTACTGTGTATTAGAGTCATCTGGAAAACAAGTAAAAAATGAAAATATATGAAACCTTCTTTAGAAGATTTTGACTCATCAAGTTTAGGTAGGGGACTAGGAATCTGCATTTTTAGCAAGTACCCCAGCTGACTCTGATGTAGGTGACCCATCATTAGTGCTCTAGAAATGCTGTTAGAGATTATTTAGGCACTTCTAGAGCAAACTGGAGTCTACCCTTGTGGCTTAGATGGTAAAGAGTCCACCTGCAATGTAGGAGACCTGGGTTCAATCCCTGGGTGGGGAAAATCCCCTGGAGGAGGGCATGGCAGTCCACTCCAGTATTCTTGCCTGGAGAATCCCATGGAAGAGAAGCCTAATGGGCTATAGACCATGGGGTTGCAAGGAGTCAGACATGACTTGAGCATGCCTGCACATTTGCAAATAGGATTTTTTATATTAAAAAATGTGATGACATATGTTATCAGAGTACTGATCCAAGTTTGGATGATAGTTTGTTCACTAGATACCTGTGTGTCTCAGATAAGTTAGTTAGTCTTACTTTTCTATTATGTGACATGAGAACACCATCAGCCACTCGAAGGAGGTACTGTAGGGTTGAAATACATGTTTTTAAAAACAGTCATGAAAAGGATGATCAGTTCAGTTCAGTTGCTCAGTCATGTCTGACTCTTTGTGACCCCATGAACCTCAGCACGCCAGGCCTCCCTGTCCATCACCAACTCCCAGAGTCCACCCAAACCCATGTCCATCGAGTCAGTGATGCCATACAACCATCTCACCCCCTGTTGTCCCTTTCTCCTTCTGCCCTCAATCTTTCTCAGCATCAGCGTCTTTTCAAATGAGTCAGCTCTTCACATCAGGTGGCCAAAGTACTGGAGTTTCAGCTTCAGCATCAGTCCTTCCAATGAACACCCAGGACTGATCTCCTTTAGGATGGACTGGTTGGATCTCCTCGCAGTCCAAGCGACTCTCAAGAATCTTCTCCAACACCACAGTTCAAAAGCATAAATTCTTTGGTGCTCAGCTTTCTTTATAGTCCAACTCTCACAGCCATACATGACCACTGGAAAAACCATAGCCTTGACTAGATGGACCTTTGTTGACAAAGTAATGTCTCTGCTTTTTAATACGCTGTCTAGGTTGGTCATAACTTTCCTTCCAAGGAGTAAGCATCTTTTAAGTTCATGGCTGCAATCACCATCTACAGTGATTTTGAAGCCCAGAAAAATAAAGTCAGCCACTGTTTCCACTGTTTCCCCATCTATTTGCCATGAAGTGATGGGACCGGATATCATGGGACCGGATGCCAGAAAATGATGATAGAAATGTTAATAATCTCTTCATCATTGAATATTTCAATAACTAGATTATTCAACTAAATAAAGAGAAGCTAAGGCCAGATTTTCCATAAGTTTCTTTCCCACAAATTAGTATTTTTACTTATGTGAATATGATGGGTATGTCATTGTCCAGTGGCATAGGTAATAGGTCAGAGGTAAGGTAAGGTGTAACTATGAAATGGTTATGTGACTGAATAGCAGTTCTTTGGCATTAATAGTAGTTCAACAAAATCTATATTTAATTTAGGACAAAAAACTGCAACTAAGTGTACATACAATGTAATAATATGTACACAATATATACACTGGCTTCCCTGGTGGCTCAAGATGGTAAAGAATCTGCCTGCAATGAGGGAGACCTGGATTGGATCCCTGTGTTGGGAAGTTCTCCACTCCAGGATTCATGCCTGGAGAATCCCATGGACAGATGAGCCTGGTGGGCTATAGTCCATGGGGTTGCAAAGAGTTGGACATGACTGAGTGACTAAGTACTCACAATGTAATAGTAAAAAATTATATATATATGTATATATGTATATTTATTGCATTAATTCATTTCAGACAATTTCAACCTGTTCTACAAAAGAAAGAAAAAACAAACAAAATGACCAGTTAGACATTGGCTGGAAATGAAATATGTGATTTCCATGTATCAGGGAACTATTTTTATTCTGTGCAAGACAGTGTCAGGTAGATCACAATTACACTGATTACAAATTTCTTCTGTCTGGCTTTCGGAATTTAGCAAAAGACCAAGTGAAGAATGTGGTGCCTTGTATCTTTCTCTCTCTCCCCCCTACTCCTTCAAATATATACATACACCTATGTTTAAAACATTCATGCAGACTGAGTGCATTAAGGATGTATGATGTGTACACACAATGTGTGTATGTGCCATTTTCAGATTAACAAATTTCTTTTGGTAATAAAAAAATGTTTTCAGTAAAGTTTCCCAACATTGAATGGCTCAACAAAACCCTAGGATGTACTTCTATATGATCTAAAGTCAAGGGGTTGTATCCTCACAATCTTTCTCTCACAGGTATCTTGTGTAGTGACTAGAAATATTAGACACTGAACCAACACTCGTGGAAGTTGACTGATCTCTTTGAGACAAGGTCTAAATAGGTTATTAGTAAGAATCCCAAGGAAGTTAGTTTATCCTGAGATTTATCTCTTCCTAGTTATATTAAGATAGATCAAGTTCTCCTCCAATAATAGAAAGCTCCCAGATCTCCAACTTAATATACAAAAAAAAAGTTCATTTCTCACTCAGTTAAAATCAAGTGTGGACATGGGCCTCCTCCAACAACTGTCCTTCTTGAGGCAACTCAGTGATGTAGGCTGTTTTGATCTCGTGTCTCTACAATTTCAACACAAGGTCTCTTCCGCTGTCACTCAGCAGGGGAACAGAGCTTTGGGCTGGTGGGTCTGGCAGCGCTAACTGAATGTTTTGGCTTGGACATGATACACTTCAGTTCTGTTCATCGTTCTTTAGTACCTCAGCAGTGCCTCACCGAACTGCCATGGCTTAGGGAAATACAACCCATCCTCTGTCTCAGAAACAGAGAACAACCGGAGAGAAGAAGAACGAAGTCTCCACATACAGCCTGAATGGTTCCCAAGAAAACACACAACACAGCAATTCGCTTCTTTTGAGGGGAAAATGACTTTAGAAAATAAATAGATTGATGAAAAGACTATTTAATCATAAATGAAATGAACAGCTATTAGATGCTGATTATGAAGTATTCTACAATTTGAATACATTAAAAAAAGTAACTAAAGCGAAGTTTAAAATCAATGTGATTTTAAAATGTCATATATTTAATATTTTAAAGCAATATATCTTTGTCAACTTATAACTGAAAAATAATTCTAAATAATAATAGAAACTAGGAGGATAGAAGACCCAATGGTTTTGAGGTAAATCTTCACTGTGTTATTGAATATATGCTATTCAATCATTGGGGCATTGATTAAAGCAAACTTTCGTTCCTTTGACCACATACAATTTTTTTTTTCTTATGTAATTCTCACAAAAACATTAGAAAGTAATGAAGTTATAATTTAAATTCCTGTTGGGCTTTAGGTATTATGCTGGTAGAGTTTCTGGTCATTTCAAAATCTCTGTAAAAGGACTGCCAGGATTGAGTTGATTCTCTGAGAGTTCTTCAGAGTAGCTTTTCTCTGGGACTTTTCCAACACTGGATCCCTGATGGATTAACAAAAATTGACCAGTCCCAAACCTGACACATAAAGCTGACACAAAAATTTATAACTAAATTGTTAACATAATTTATGATATTTTGTTTCCTCCTTAGTCACAAAATGGTGATTAAACTTACTGGTCCAGACACTGGAATTGGCTAGAGATCCTTAAACAAGAAGACAAAATTATATGAATTTATAAGAAATGGAAGCCAAACTTAATGTTAACCTTTGTGAGAAAGTCTTTAATAATACAATTAATCTTCTTATATGGATGTCATTTAGCATAGTTTGAGATACCATCTGTTATAAGAAAGTTCAAATGCAGTGTTTTCTGGATGTGCTGGACCAGGTCAAGTCTGAATTCCCCTCCAGACGTAGGATTTGACGTGTAGACAGAGCATGCAATTTTGCAATCTGCCGAGCCAGAAGAGGATTTAATACTGAGTTCAAAGCTGTATTCAAATTGTCAAAAAATGTTCAATAAAATAACATTGCAAATCATACTCAGTTAAACTAGCTGGCAAAGGTAGCATAACAAAATTGAGAATTAAAGCATATGAGACGTAGTGTTATTTACATGTTTTCAGGGCTTACGCACTGGGTGGCTCGCTATTTACAAGACAGCAGTTTCCACCCTTCCCCTCTGCTTTAAGGTTTGGTGTGAGGCCAAGTCCTCCATCTGACTTCATCTGAATGTGGTCTAGTTCAGATTAGGGTTTGTCACCACTCTTCACAGCAAACAGGAATTCAGCAGACTGGGGGGGAGGAGGAGGAGAAGGAGGAGGAGGGGCTAAGTCTGTTGAAGGTAAACATACCTGAGACAATCACAGCAGTGAAATTTGGAGGTTGCATGGTGGTCAGATGTGCATGACTTAATTTTAGATAACTGCTGAAGGAAAGAGTGTTTTAGAATTCTCAAAATTTTTGCTCCCACTGGAAAAAAAAAATCATTTGGGGAAGCATTATTTTCACCCTCTCTGAAGACAAAGTTTTACAGGACTCTAAGCTTCTTACTTGGAATCTAATGGGACATGTGGCTGAAAGATGACAGATCATAAATCTGTTCCAAATAAATGAAGACATGGTTTGACAGAAGAGAAAAACCATGAATCAGAACAAATGGGTCAAAATAATGCAAGTATTTTTAAAAGCTAAAAAATGACATTCAATCAACATGAAAAACATTAGCAAAAATAACAAAAAATTTTAAAGATAATAAAAATAGCAATTTTATTATTTATGAATACAGAAGATAAACTCTGAAATATGGGCCAGACAATATTTTAATGGCTTTACACATTAACCTAACAGGTTTATGAAATGAATTCTAGTCTAAAACTGAGGCAGAAAACAGGTTAAATACTGAGTTGGTAAATGATAGACCTGAGACTTGAACCCATACATCCAGGCTCCATCCTGCACAACCTATGTTAATTTATGAAAGGGAAGAAGACAAACCTTCTCATTAAAGTTTTGCAATGGAAACAATACTCTCTTGTCTATTTCCAAATTACTTAATATGTGATGTAATTTCTGATGTTAATATCACTGGAGAGCTGTATCAATTTCAAATAATAGGTAAAATTGGAGAAAAGGAGCTAGTGGTTCTTGGCTCTGTGTTGTGTGCTCTATGACTAAGATTTAGAAGAGAATTAAATTACTTTATTCAAACCTTTTCTATTTCCTTCTCCAAAAATGTAAGGTTATAATGCTCATCACACCATCAAGTTCTTATTGATTTGGACTGACAATTTCCCTTAAGAATTGATTAGAGCTTGGGAGAAGATTAGTCTTTTGGCAGACTCTTTACTGTTACATTATCTTAGCCAATATTGTAGAAGTTGACCTCCTGACTTTATATTCTTGTCATTTAGCTAATGTAACTCCAGGCTAAATCACAGTATTGATTTGCTTGAGCTGTGGAATGTAAATCTTTTCCCACCAGGTAAACAAGAGCAATTAAATGGAATTTGGGTAGAAGGGAAATGATTTTCCCATAACTTTGCCCCATTAGCAGAAACCCTGGCACTCCAATAAGCTACAGGGTTTAGTGCCAGGTATGATGATGCATCAGTCAGTATAATCTGGTTGCCAAGAATCTAAGCCTGGAATTTGTAAATTCTTTAAGATCATCAGCATCCTTTGGTGGGAGATACATCACACAAGTGAACCCAAACAAACTGAGTAGCTTGGTTAAATAAAATAGGTGAATGTAACTGGCAGAAGGAAACGTTTTGCCTTCTGATAAGCATGGACTTATCATCAGGTAGACATGGGCTGGAATCTGGCTTTACACCTTATGAAGTGGTGCTTGTCAAGCCATGATCACTGGTGAGTTACTGACCTATTTTCAGCCTTATTTTCCTCTTCTAAAAAACAGCATAAATTAGCTATATTTGCCAAACACAATGCATGACACATAGTAGGAGCTCAGTAATTTATTTTTTAAATGACAAGCTATTTCTCAACAAATTCAATTACTGGGAAAAAAGTGTACATAAAATATTTTTGAAAGACATAACTAATTAGACATTATTTTTATTAATTAAAAATCTATTTTGGAAGTCTGAATCCTTAGTATTCAATTCTGAACGATGAATAAATTGAATTATTCTAAATTGATTGAATAATGTCATTATTCAATTTCTGCTTAATTTTAAAAATTAAAGTTATATTGATTCTCCAAGTCCCTCTCAACAGCAAACCAAGACTGAATTTAAAATATTTCCTCAAATCTAGGAGGTGAGTTTCTGATTTTTCAGATTATCTTGGCCAAAGATAAATGGCTCTTCTTTGTAGCCACTAAACTAGAAATGCTCCTAGCTCTGAGAGTCATAAGTCAGAGGATTATTCTGACTTAGTAGGTCTTTTACTCTTTAGTCATGATAAAATTAAATACATCAACAGCACTGCCTTCTCAGCCTTCTGCTGGTGAGATATCTTTCCTTAAAGAATTTCACACACATTTGAACTCTTGACCTGCTCAGTCCCCACGCTAATCTCAAGAAGGGTGGAAGTGAACAAATTTGACTGTGTTGAAGATCGAGGGTAACAAACTTTGTCACTGCTTCCTCCCTGGCAAGAAAATCTCTAGATTCACAGTGCACAATATGGTGGCTACTAGTCATATGTGGCTGTATAAATTTAAACTAAGTTAAATTTAAAAATTAGTTTCCTCAGTCACACAAACCAAATTTTAAGTGTTCAGTACTGACTAACAGCTAGTGGTTTACCAAATGACATAATGCATATATAGAAAGCTTCCTTCATCTCTGAAAGTTCTATCCAGAGGCACTGCTACATGATTAATGGTAAAAGCCCCAGATTATTTTTCTTTCACATTGAGCATAACAAGATATTATCTTCCTCTTATTTTCTCATATTTTTTAAGAGAAAGAAATATGCAAAAATACTTAAGAGCACAAAACGTAAAATTGAAGACCATCTCATGCTTTTATTCCCAGTCCTTGTTTTGACTATTTCATGGAATTGCTCCAACCTTGGGGTCTTATGCGGTCCCATGTCTTCTATTTCATAGAGGAAAGAAGCATGGCCATCTGACAGTGATCTCAGCATGTTGAAGCAAGCTTAATTGACCAGAGGGTACCTGCTAGATTCTACTTCTCAAGTATTTCTGTTAGTCGATTGAATAGATAATAATTAGAACAGGTAATTAGAAAAGGACAGGGTGCTCCTGTTTGGAATTTCTTGAATTTTGTTATTTTCCCCATTCTTACAACCCCAGGCCCCCATCTTATTTGAGCTTCCTACCTTGTTACTTGTTCACCATGATGGCAGGATTGGTGGTGCCACATGGCAAGAGAAAGTGAACTTTTCATGAGGCCTGAGAAGCCTCTGTCTCTCATCCCCAGAAGGTAGCTAAGGAAGGTTGAGAAAATGTTGGTCCTTCATGCTGCAAGCCAGGGATAACTTAGAAAATGCCCAGAATGGCCTGAAACTGCATGTTCCTTTGTAGTACACGTAATACTGGATGAAAAGATTCACCCTTGGGGGTGGGGGTGGGGGTTGGAATATATTTTGCTTCCACTTTTCCCACCACTGTGAATAAAATCCCTAACCAATCTTGAAAAGGATTATGTAAGACAGGGGTCCCCAACCTCCAGGATCTAATGTCTGATGATCTGAGGTAGAGCTGGTGTAATAATCAAGTGCACAATAAATGTAATGTGCTTGAACCACCCCCAAACCATCTCCCCTGCCAAACAGGTTGGAGACTGCTAAGAGATCATGGATATTTTAGTGTTGAATTCTATTCCATTGCAAACCTTTTAAGGAGAAACATTTTGGTATAGAAAAGTTAATAATTACAGAGAAGCAGGTCAAACTGAAGCCATAAAGAAGGAAAGGATGTGAAAAAGAATGAGTTGGATCCCAAAAATATATACACAGTCATTGCATACTTGCAAGTCTCAACCATTCATTTACTACTTTCTCCTTTCTTTTTTTTCTTTTTTTTTTCATTTATTTTTATTGGTTGGAGGCTAATTACTTTACAATATTGTAGTGGTTTTTGTCATACATTGACATGAATCAGCCATGGATTTACATGTATTCCCCATCCCGATCCCCCCTCCCACCTCCCCACTTTCTCCTTTCTTCAGCCCAATCATACTTTCACCACCTACACTTGATCCTGTTAGTATCCCTGCCCCAGTGATTGAAACCACTGCAGATGATTTGAAACTATTTACTACTTTGTATATGTTCCTAGCATCCCTAGTAAAATTATGAATGTATTTTCTCATAGACATATTAGTTGGTTCAATACATTTAGGCTTTAGGAAATCATTAGCTGTAATGTGGAGAATTGATGATTTGAGAGCAAGAATGAAAATAAGGACTCACTTAGCAGGCTATTTCAAAACCAGTGTGAAGGACAGGGAAGCCTGGAGTGCTGCAGTCCATGGGGTTGCCAAGAGTGGGACATGACTAAGTGACTGAACAACAAGGCACAAGATGACAAAGGCTTTGGTTACCGAGGTAGTTGTGAGAATGAATGGAAAAAAGTAGATAAACTCAGGAAAAGTCTTGGGGTACAGATGACAGGACTAAATTTGAATTAGGGAGTGAGTAAGAGATAAAAGAGAGAAATGGGGAAGGATGATATATTTGTTGAGATGGGAAATATTACAAAAAGACAGAGAAAGAACTCTGGTTGGCAGGGGTGAGTTGGTGAGGAAGAGACCTGTTTTTGACATGTTGGGTACCACATTAATCAGGCAGATGGATATAGGATTGGACTTAAAAGTCAATGGTCTTTTAGCCTATGGCGAATATGCAAAGCTGTGGAATCAGAAGAGAAACAGAGAGAGAATAAAGAAATGAGGGCATTAGCCCCATTACATTTAAGATTAAGGTCTATATAACACTGCATTATGGGTTATATAGAATTTTCAGGCTTTAGGTTACTTAACATGTGTAATAGAGAATATGCCTTTCAATTTCTAAGGAATAAAGATAAAGACATTTCTGAGCACAAGAATTCGTGTGGGGAACTGCCAGCATTACCAAGGTAGAATCCCTGTGACACTGAATTTAATTCATATAAAAGAGAACGTGTCTCACTCTCATCAATAACTGTAGCTGGTTATCTGGATTTCCTGGCAGCTAGGACTGGAGTTCTCTAAAAAATTCTGATTTGATATTTCTACCTAGCTTATGTCATTTTATAAAACTGCTGCCAATGTCAGTTTTGATTTGATACAAAGTGTAAAAGTCTATGGCTTGCTTTATGAGAAAAAAGAAAAAATATAAGAAAAATAAAGTGTTATTATTTTTAGCTACATAAAAAGCCATGAACAAAAAAACATAAGGTTTGCCTGTAAAATTATAATGCAGAATTACTTCCAAAAAATAGCTCACTGAGACAATTACTGTAAGTGTACTACTTGCATCCCTGTTACATTTTTTTAAATAAATCTATAAATCTTTACATTTTTAGAAGTTATGGAAAGCAGAAAGATACAGAAAATTACAGAAAAGTATGTTTCATAAAAGTAGCATGTTTCACAGTATTAGGTGAACATTTGTCTTTGGTTCTAACATTTTTAGAAAAGAATACCTACACAAAACAGCAAAAACTCAAAATCCATTACTATACATCTTGCCACAAGACATTTTCTATAACCTGCTTCAGTATGTGAACTTGTTGTCAGTGATTTGTTCATTCTGTAGCTTCAGTTATTTCTTTTTAAATCAGTTTCCAGATTTTTGAGAACTGAATCTTTGCCAGGACTGAGTCAAGTTTTCCTATCTTTTGAATGACTTTGTTCCTTGAGCTCTGTGTAGTTCTCAAAAATAAAAGACTAGTTTGCACCACCATTGTGAGTCAGAGTGGGAGTCTAAAAGCCTATTAGCTATCCTTCAGCATCCATTAACACCAAGACTCACACCACATTGTTCTGAATATTTCCACTTCTGACCCGATCCCTAACCCTCTCTTCTCTTCACCTGTCCCTGTCCCCATCCCCATCCCTCACCCAGCTCCTGCTGGGTCCTCTGGATCTCCTATTCTTGACTCTAAAATCCTGTGCATACAATCCTTTCTCTAACTTTTCTTCATCCCTCCTATTGTAGCTGAAACCTGATGGACCAGGACGAGTGAGTCTAGTATTTATAGCTCACTCCCAATACTGGGAGGCCAGGTATAGCTTGGTACTGTAAGAAATTATTTGACATATAATTTTTCATATGGCTTCCCTGGTAGCTCAGCTGGTAAAGAATCAGCCTGCAATGTAGGAGATCCCGTTTCAAGTTCTGGATTGGGAAGATCCCCTGGAGAAGGGATAGGCTACCCACTCCAGTATTCTTGGGCTTCCCTGTGGCTCAGACCATAAAGAATCCACCTACAATTCGGGATACCTGGGTTCGATCCCTGGGTTGGGAAGATCCCTTGGAGGAGGGCATGGCAACTAACTCCAGTATTCTTGCCTGGAGAATCCCCATGGACAGAGGAGCCTGGCGGGTTACAGTCCATGACGTCACAAAGAGTCAGTCATGACTAAGCGACTAAGCATAGCACACAGTCCCTACTTACACTCTTAGGGGATCTTGTAAATTTGGGTAGAATATCAATTTAGTAGCATTCTAGTAGCTGTGATTTAGTTATCCCATGTAGCATTTGGAAATGCAGGTTCATACTGAAGGGTTCAAAAGGCAGGTTACTGTTTTATGACAGTTCTTTAACTTCCTCATAGGACCTCATTTCTTATTGTACCACAGCAAGTTTAGCTATTTCTTTAAATTAGCACTCAGACTCTATTAGCTCAAGTTTAATTTATTACTAGTGGAATAATTGATCAGTTATTTATGAACTCACTACTATGTACCAAGTTCACACACAGGCTAAGTACAGGAAATTCCTTCAGGATATAATAAACAAAACAGATGTGGGCTCTTCCTTCAGAAAGATATATATAAAGCAAATAAGAACACATATTATCAATTATAAGTGGCAACTAACACAAAATATTATTTAATTCTGTATGTACTCTATGGGCTTCCCTGGTGGCTCAGCAGTATAAGAATCCACTTGCCAATGCAGGAGATTCGAGTTCAACTCTGGGTCGGGAAGATCCCCTGGAAAAGGAAACTGTAATCCACTCCAGTATTCTTGCCTGGAAAACTCCATGGACAGAGGGGCCTGGTGGGTTACAGTCCATGGGGTCGCAAAGAGTCGGACATGATTTAGCGACTAAACAACAAACACAAAATATTATTTCATTCTGTATGTACTCCATAGGAAATTACAATTTAATCTCATTAGGGATTAATTTTTGACAAAATTATATTTTCATTGCGATCATATAAATCCAATTTCCAACCTAAGAATTATTAATTTATTTTGGCTTCTTGCTCCTTTGAGTAGTCTGGAGTTGTTTACTGGTATGTAAACAGAAGACTAGGTGCTAAGTGCTTAGATCCAATAACTCCAGTTTTTCTCTTGTAGTTTTATAAATGTCTTCCAGGTATTTACATACTTTTTTTCTTATTCAGGATTTATTATGCAAAGACTTCTTTTAATTTAGCATATGCATAATTCTTTTGTCATTCTTTAAAGCATATTAAGCATTTCCTGATTCCAGTCAGTATAACTGTCAGAAAAAAGTTTTAACTGTAGATACCTGACTCAGTGCAGAATCACATCAATCATAGGGACACTGTTCTGGTTTTGATTTCAAAGCAATTACTGAGTAAGGCTTCACTGAACTGCAACATGAATCAGCATTTAGCGAGGCTGAGTTTAAACCTCTATTCCAGATTCTGAGTGACAGAGAACTTCTAAATAGGGCACTGTTTGTTCACAGTTTTAGGTATCTGTGATTTACTTGGCTTTATTAGACAATAGGGGCTTTGGTTCAGTTATATTTTTAACATTCCTTAAAATAAATCAAAGAATGTTCCCATTCTGGATGAGGATTAGCATGGTGGAGGAAATGAAGACTTTATAAGTGCCAGGTATCCAGGGATTGTGAGCTGGGCTCTGTGCTGAACTGCTTTGGTTAATACTTTATTGGTTGCATGTAATAGAAACTGGCTCTGGCTAGCTTAAGGGAAAAAAGTAAGTGGTGCTGGCATATTGGAAGAATATTTGGGTAGCTCAAAGAATCCAAGACTCAGGAAAGACAGTGATCAGGGGACTTCTGCTCTCAGAAGTAGAGTTCATGTCTTGCCCACTAGAGTAAAATAGTTGAAGTATCTCAGCACATGACTCTTCACAAGAGGCCCAGTTTGGGTCTTCACCTGTGGACCAGCCAGTCAGTGTCAGAGGGGCAGAATAATATTGTTTAGCCAGTTGCTTGTGGGCAACTGCACCTGTGTTTTGTGGGCAGTTCCCAGAGAAAGGGGGCTTATTGTGAACTGGAAGCCATACCAATGAGGTATACTCTATGGGGCATTTTACAAGCTTAATTTTTTTTTTTTAAAGTCTATTAAACTCACTATTTTCACCTCACAAATGAGAAAACAGAGACTTCATTTGGCTAGGCAACTTGTCCAATGTTCCACAATTAGAATGTGGCAGGGCTTGAATTCTAACTAGGCTTATAAAAGGGGGCTAGTCTCCTTCTTTAAAGATTAAAGTAATGTGATGACTATCTGGATAAATATTTACAGATAATTTCTCATGGAGAGATGTTAGGTATCTGCAATTTTATACTAGAAAGAATAAAACTACCTGTTGAAAGATCTAGGGTTGAATCCCACCCAACTCTACCTGGTCCTCATGGGCAATTAAACACCTAATCTTCTACACTAATCAATGTGGACATATCATCTCCTACACAGGGTTATTTCAACTTCACAGGGGTGTTGAGATAATAATGTGAAAATACTTGGTTCAAAGCAGATACTCATTTGTTTTTTGAGGAAATAACTCTTCTAATAATGAACCCTCAAGCATGTTACTAAAAATGGAGTCACAATTTGACAGTGCTTTGTCACTCAAAAAGTCTAATTATTGTCTTACCCACAGTCTTTCAAGATGGTGCTTTATTCATCTAGACATAAAGGTAGGAAATGCTATAAAAAGTGGTAAGAAAATCACACAATAGGAGGGGAGGTTTAGACACAAAACATTTGACTCCTTTGAGACTTTCAGCTCATATTTCAGGGAGAATCTCTTATCTTTGGTCACAGTGTTGCAGGCAGGGGGATCCCCTTCAAGGGCCCTAAACTGGGCTCTTGTCTAACACTCAGAAATGAATTGTCTGGGGAGATATATGTGCTGACAAAGCAAGATATTTTATTGGGAATAAAATCCCCAATTTTATTGGGGGCCTGGGCAGAGAGCAATAGGATAAGGGAACCTAGGAGAACTGCTCTGCCACATAGCAGTCTTATGTTTTGTGGGGATGGGATTAGTTTCTGGGTTGTCTTTAGCCAGTCATTCTGACTCAGAGTCCTTCCTGGTGCTGCATGCCTTGTTCAGTCTATATGGATGCCAGTGAGAAGCATTCTGGGAGGTGGTCTGACATGTGGTGTCTCCTTTTGACCTTTCCCAAACTTTTCTGGTTGATGGTTTATTAGTTCATTGTTCCTTACCAGGACCTCCTGTCAATACAACTCAAGCAAATGGTTACTATGGTGCCTGGCCAGGATGGGCGGTTTCAGTCCACTAACAACTGTGCTTCCCCTAACAACAGCACAATGCTTAAATTGTGAGAAATTAAATTCTAAGCATTAGGTTTAAATGTTTAAGTCTAATTCTCTTAGTGAATGCTACCTGACATGGTTTATGTCCTTGTGATAACCAGAACAAAAAGAGAATACAGTTCTAAATGTGGAAACCTATAATTGAATATCACTGAAACAGATTATTAGCTAATTCAGTTTGGAAGGATAAATGTATTAAACAGTTCTATGTCCAGATGATTATTCTCAGTTATCTTTAAGGACAACTCCATGGGATAAAAATATTGTAGCAATCTAAGAATTTATTATTGTGCATGGTGGGTGTTCTGCAAATATTCAGAGACGGATCAGTATCAATTTGTTCCAAATTACTTCAGACAATAATTAGTCTACATCAAGAGAAAAACTAGAACTCCAAATAGAAGAACAAAAAAATCATTCTGTGCTAGTTGGGATAGAAAGAGAGGTGGAGATTATTATATTCTCCTGATACCTCCTCTATCTCTGGGTCTTAGTTTCAGTGACCTTCTATGCTTCATTTTCATTGAACTCATATCTGAGTAACTCGTAAAATAGCCTATCATTTTAAATTTGATGACAGAGTCAACTGATTTTAAACATGACCATAACATCGTTTTATTAGCTTGTTTCTGGATTAAAAGCCCTTTCTCCCCTTTTCAACTATGCTGCATTTCAAATCAGTGGCCTGCTTGCTTTAATTTCTTATTTAAATTTGTAAGATAAAACAACTAAGTAGTCATTAACAATTTAAAGATCCTTGAAGTGAAGTAA